AGTACTGTGCTGGCACAGTACAGATGGATCTCAGTTAGTCCTCCCAACAGCCTTTCCCAGTGGGTCCCAGCCTAATCCCCACTGAAGTCCGCAGATCAGAGAGGTTAAGCAACTTGCTGAAGGTCACAGAGCGAGCAAAGTGTGAGGCTGGGATTGAAGACCATGGCTGTGTGACCCCAAAGCCCATGCCCGCTGTCACTCACTATGCAGGAAGAGTCATGTCACTAGGTCCCTTAAGACTTCCCTCACACTGAGACAACCTGAAAGGGCTGGCTTCCAGCCTCTTCATTAGCATTTGTTCCAGTACCTCGGAAGTAAGGTAACTGGAGGGACACAAATAGTAAGAGACAGCAAAGTCACTGAAATTTTAGTTTTGAGACCCAGCTTTGTCCTACAAAATAGCAGACTGAGAAACACCAGTATGTGTTAGAAGGCCAGGGCACCCCAAAATCGGCACAGTTCAGCAAAACCTCAGTCAGAAACCACTGAGTTTCACAAAGTCCTATTAATAGCACAGAACAAACAAACAAGAGAAGAGCCAAAAGGAAACACTGACAATTCAGCCAGCCCCTCAGGGCTGTTGGAAAGCTACGGAGATGGCAGCAGCCACAACACTTGCACCGTAGGTTCAGATCTCAGCTCTGTCCTCTCATATGACCACCATCGTGCATCAACTTTGTAACTGCTTTGCGTCCTAGCTGCTCCCTCTGAAAATGGGCTGGGAAGGCAATGCTCCATCTATTTTATAAGGAAGTGTAGGTAAAATAATCTAAAGGGAGTGGTTTAAGAAGTTTAATTTACAAATAATAAGTATTGTTATTTTTATCATATCTATAGAATAACGAGTAGATCTACCATGAAGGAAAAACATTTCACTCTCATTTTCCAATGTCTACTTTAAGATCATATATTTTCAGTGAATTTTTACAGAAAATTCTATGCCCTGACCACTTATAAATCCACTATTAAACTGTAAGGTAAACTACATTTTGTAGTAAATGCTTATTTCATTCATTTAATCTCCATGAAAAGAAATGGAAAGGATTTATTAATAGCCTAGTGGCAACAAGATTGGGCTTTGGGCTCCTGGGTTCAACTTTCAGCTGTTATTGACTAGTAGGATGACTTTCTGTAAGAGATTTAACCTCTCCCTTCCACATTTTCCTCATCCATAAAATGGGGACAATGAGAGCATCTAACTTAGAGATGTTATAATGATTTAATAAAGTAGATTATTCAGAATGTCTGATAGCTAGCAATCAGCAAACAACAATAGAAACACATATTTTTCAAGACCTTCATTCACAAATGTTAGAGATATCCCAAAGAAAGTTTCTGGCTACAAGAATGTAGATTTAAAAAAAAAAAATTCAATATTTACATAAATAAAGTACTTGAAAAGATAAGCTACAAACAAAACCAACTATTCACTTTTAATAATATAAAAATAAAGTATCTAAAACTTATAAAACAATAGTTTGAGCTGAAATTCATGGAAAACATGGCCTAGAAAACAAGGAAAATGGATAAAAGATAATTAAGTGCATACACTAAGTAGAACGGATCAAATAGGTAAACTGAACTGTCAGTTCCAAAAGTCCTAAAGTCTGTTCCACGTGTTCCAGCAACCAAAATTAGGGGCCAAGGTTTGCAAGGTGACAGCTGTGTCATTGGAGGTTAAGCACTTACTAAATTACTGTTTACTAGCTCTAATTTCACAAGTGGATTGAAGAAATAAATTTTTTTGAAAGTTGAGACGCTGAACACCAATAACTAGAAAGTCAACTGCACACAGAAAAAGTACAGTAAAATTGATCAACTCCTCTAAAAGTTTATTCATACTTTTACCAACTGTGATTGGCTAGACCCATTGTAAACCACAAGGGATACAAAGAAGGATAGGCAGTCCCCATCCTTAACTTTCTTAGTCTAATGCAATAAACATTCAAAGACTAAATTTTAATGCAGCTCTTTCAGTCATTTTTTTTAAAATTTCAAAATATTAAGGGGGTACAAATATTTTTATTATATAGATACCTTGTATAACGTTCAAGTCAGGGCTTTTGGTGTGTCTGTCACCAGAATAGTGTTTATTGTACCCAATAGGTAAGCTTTTATTCTATACACCCCTCCCATCCTCCCCCCTTCATGGTTTCCAATGTCCTTTATATCTCTTTGTGCCCATGTGTACCCATCGTTTAGCTCCCACTTAATTAGTGAGAACATACAGGTCTTTGATGGGGTAAACACGTGGGACGGGCACCTGACTCAGTCCTAAGGGTGTATAGAAGGATTCTCAGAGTCATAGTTAATGTGAAGCTGAGAGGAGTCAGAGTGAGCTAGGGAAAGGGCTGAGAGCAGCAGAAAGAGTCCTCTAGGCAGAGGGAACAGCATAGGCAAAAAGCATATCAGATTGTCACTTCCCTACTCCCTACTCCAATCAGCAATTCTTACCATGGCATTAAGGGCCCTATACAAACTGGCCCCAACTCATCTCCTATAATCAACAGAATCTACCCTTATTATCTTAAAAGGCAAACAACAGTAGGAACACATATTTTGCAAGACCATTCACTTCCTGCCCTCCAGACACTCTGACCTCATTACTGTCCTTAAATACTTCAAGCACATTCCCACCTCAAAGCCTTTATCCGTACTGCTCTCTTTGCCTGGGATGCTCTTCCACCAGGTGTCTGCAAGGTTCATTTTATTCAAATGTCAGCTCTTCAGGAATGCCTTTCCTAACCCCTCGATCTAAAATACCTCATCACCTTCAGAAGTCTATTTTTCTTTCTGGCCGGGATAACCACCTGTATGATACTTCATCACATCTCCATGTGTATAGCCCTTTAATGTCTGTCTGCCTCTGGCTGGAGAGCAAGCTCCACAAAGGCACGGGCATTTCCAATGCCTATAACTGCCCCTGGCATGTTGTAAGGCTCAATATATATTGGCTGAATAATTAATGAATTAATAAATCTCCTGAAGGCAGAAAGGACACTTGGGGTGATCCAAAGACACATAGTTCAGTGTGACTGGCCCATAGGATGGAAAGGGAGATACAACAGAAGATGAGGCTGAAATACATCTGTTTTCTGGAGATATGAGCAACTTTCTTTAACTTTCCTTATTATTATCTTGCCATCATACCCATCCCACCACTAGCAATAACCATTTTCTTTTTTTTTTTGGGAGACAGAGTCTCGCTTTGTTGCTCAGGTTAGAGTGAGTGCCATGGCATCAGCCTAGCTCACAGCAGCTGCAAACTCCTGGGCTCAAGCGATCCTCCTGCCTCAGCCTCCCAAGCAGCTGGGACTATAGGCATGTGCCACCATGCCTGGCTAATTTTTTCTATATATATTAGTTAGCCAATTAATTTCTTTCTATTTATAGTAGAGACGGGGGGTCTCGGTCTTGCTCAGGCTGGTTTTGAACTCCTGACCTCGAGCAATCTGCCCACCTCAGCCTCCCAGAGTGCTAGGATTATAGGCGTGAGCCACCGTGCCCGGCCAATAACCATTTTCTATCAGACATTTTCAATTATTGCTGATCCCAGCCCCTTAGTGTGGTGACCCAGATCCCAAGAGATACGCTGAACCTAGAGATGAGTGCACAGAATCCCCTGGCCTTCTTCCATGGAAATAGTGGGCATGTTTTTGGCAATATAGAACCTTAAGGTTTGAAAGGAACATCATGGTTATCTAAATACCTAACACCTGCTAGAATTTTATGAAAGGAACTAAGAAAGTAAAAGGAAACAGCCAGGAACAAAATATAAACACACACTCAAGTATACAAATGAAGTGTTGGTGGTTCCTTTCCATTCAAATTCATGGGAGTCAGGGAGATGAGGGGTTTTCTACACTTCAATGGAGAATTCAAGTGACAGAAGAACTAGTGCAAATTAGAACATTAAATGGTGAGATAATACCAGCTCCAGAAGCAGAGGCAAATAGAACTGGGCCAGAGAGCCTAACACAGGAAGGTTAGAATTCAGGGCATTCCTATCAGGAATGGCTGCCATCTGAGGGGTCTTGCCACATGCCAGAGACCCTGAGCTAAATAGTTAAGTACTTGACACCGTTTATCCTTTTAATTCCCAAGACAGCACCAGGAGGTAGGTGCTATCACTGCTCCCATTCACTTATGAGGACTCTGAGCTTTACAAAGGTCAGGTGGCAGGGCAAGAATTCGAACTCCATCTGGCTCTCAATCATCAAACCACTTAATCTGACCACCCAGATACCCACCTCTACCCCTACCCCCCACCTGCTGTAGAGCAGGCTTTTTTATGTGACCCACAGGTACTTTCCAACTCCCTCAAGCCTTGTAAGGCAGCCATGGTTAGGGAGAAGGTGCCATTGCTTCTGCAATCCTTTCTCTGATGGTTGTCCCAGAAAGAAACGAGCAAGGCAGGATGGGAAAGAGGCCAGGGAAGTAGCAGATCAGCTCAGAGACAGACAGCTTGGCAGATTTAAGACCCACCAACCAAATATTCCTGGGATATAGATGATGCTCATCTCTTCAAAAGAGCTGAAAGATTATTCCTTGCAGACATCCTGCTAACTGAAATTCTCTCGCTGCTTGCTCATCTCTGGACCTCCCCTGAGAGTCCCCTGCATGTGCCACTGCTTCTTCAGCCATTTACAAGCCTGAACCTCCGAGTGACACAACAGCAAATCAAAGAGGAAAGGCGTGTCTGCATCACTGGATGGCAAACATCAATCTGCTTTTTGTTTTTACTTCTGGAGTTTTGTTACATCAGCTTAAATATAGAAAATAATATTTAAATAAATTCTTTATTAAGAATCTTATGAAATCAACTTAATTTCTGGCAACAAGAAAAGCAAATGGGTGAGAGTATTCCCATAGGAAAAGGAACAGTTATGTAACCAGCCCACATGGAGAAACCCAGGCTGAAGTCAACACAGTGAAAGACTGAAATAGCCCTGCTTCCCTCTACAAGTCAAGATTACACGGGGATTTCATGCGGGACATACTTCTCATACAGCCTCTGCCCTCTCATGAAGGCCTTCACTTCGTTGTCCAACGGGAAGGTGCCGTCATCCTTTCTAAAGCGGTAGAAGAGTTTGACATCCTTGAATTCCTTATGCTCATCACACACTGAAACACAATATGCACAGAGAGGCATATGAGAAAAAAAAATCACTCACTTAATTATTCAAGTGACATAAAATGCTAATGAAGAATCATTTCTCTAATTCTCCAAGCACACAAGTATCTGCTATATGAGTTCATACATGTAAAGTATTTACACAGTATTAATATCAGTATTATAAGATATCATCACCATCATCACCATCATCACTGCCATCATCACTATTATTACCATCTATTAAGAGGTTCACAAAATTCAATTCATCATTCCACAAACTCATTTTGAGCATGATATTGGGGTATGTGTCAGCCGCAAAGACTGTGAAATCCAGCGAGATAAGGAGAAATGTCAACATGTCACTAAAATATGCTGTGATAAGGCTAAGGAGGTAAGGAGAGAGTGCAGTGGGAGCACATAGCAGGAGCACCCAGGAGCTCAGTAACTCAGCTTTGAGAAATGTAAGCGTCCCTGAGGAGTTTGCATGTAAATGGAGGCCTGAAGAATGAGAGAATGAGTAGAAATTGTGCAAAAATGAAGAGAAAGGGTATTCCAGCCCAAGAGAACAGCAGCATGTGCAAAGGTTGAGAACAGGGTGATAGGTTTCAAGGAGACTTGCTCATGAATGTTCACTAAACCATGGAAAGTAACAGCAAACTCAGACACTGCCTCCTAAATGTCCATCAATAAATATACAATAGCCTAATTATACATGCCATACCAAATAGCAGCAGAAATGAACAAAAAAGAGATATACTATCAACATGGATGAATCTCAGTGTGTTGGTCAAGTTGCAAAAAAATAGGCATATACCTCTATAATAATTTAAAACATATAAAATGCCCAGGCTCAGTGGCTCATGACTATAATCTCAGCACTTTGGGAAGCCAAGGCAGGAGGGTTGCTTGAGGCCAAGAGTTAAAGAACATCCTGGGCAATGTAGCAAGACCTCATGTCTACAAAAATAGAAAAATTAGCTGGACATGGTAGCACACGCCCGTGGTCCCAGCTACTCGGGAGACCGAGGCAGGAGGATTGCTTGAGCCCAGGAGCTGAAGGCTACATTGAGCTGTGATCGTGCCACTGCTCTGGAGCCTAGGAAGCAAAGGAAGACCCTGTCTCAAAAAACAAACACAAAACTATATAAAAAGTATGATATCTTGCTTAAAGATGCATATACAGAAAGGAAAAGTATAAATAAAGAAGTACATGCCTCTTGGAGTGGGGAAGGGAGTACATTTGGGGAGAGATACACAGGAGACAAGACAAAGTAAAACGTTTTATTCTTAAATGGGTAGGTTCATGAAAAGATTTAGTCCTTCATTTTCTCTCAAGTCACCTTGACTGTTCCCTACTCACTCACCATGATGAATAATGCCCCGGTCTGCTAATTTCTGCATGAGTTTAATTGCTGTCTCTCTGTCGGAAGCCTCTTTGTGCTCAATCAGCCAGTCAATCAGTTCTTTTGCGACAAAACAGTTTGGGTAGGTCTTGAGATGATGTCGTCTATCTTTAATAACTTTTTCCTCATGTAGCCTCAGCCTGGAAGAAAAATTAGCAATTAATCACTTTAGGACTATTGATAACAGCACAAATTATTAAACCAATCCCATTAAGGGCAGTAACAAAACAGAAGCTCTAAATGCATCAGATGGTCATTAACCATATTTAGGTGATTTCCATCCTGCCAGAGCTCAAAGGCTCCAGAAAGTAATTGTGCCCTCTCATCTAGAAATGATACAGGTAAATGTGAGGGGAAAACAACCACAGCCAAGCTAGAACTCTCCTACCACCAAAAAGAGTGAGAAAAGCTCTCCCACCCCCTACTCTGCCTCACTCCCTTCTCTTTCTCTACCTATGGGGTTGTTGCTTCAACCAACCAACAAACAAAAACTCTAGAAACGTGCTGAAACAAGTTACCTCTTCTTCATCACAAATTGTTCAGTGCCTACTACCCGCCTCTTAGGTGCTACTGGACACTACAGACATATATCAGAAAATACACAGATGAAGATTCTTGCCTCTGCAGGCCTTGTTTTCTAGTAGGGGCAATAGCTAATCTTTCCGTGAGGCTTGCTAGGTTATAAGCACTGGTGTGAACACTTTACAACAATTGACTTACTTAATGTTCAGAACAACCTCATCAGAAGTTATTATTCCTAACTCCATTTTTTTTTTTTTTTCTACAGCAGAGAGCACTGAGGCCTCAGAGAGATTAAGTGACTTGCCTGACACCACATAACTGACAAGTGATGAAAACTAGGTTCGAACCCTGGTGCTCTCACTCAGACTTCACATGCTGCCTCTGGCTAGGAAGGAATAAATGAAATTTCTGAGAGAGATGGATTAAAAATGTTGGAGAGGCCAGGAGCGGTGGCTCACACCTGTAATCCTAGCACTCTGGGAGGCCGAGGCGGGCAGACTGCTCGAGGTCAGGAGTTCAAAACCAGCCTGAGCAAGAGCGAGACCCTGTCTCTACTATAAATAAGAAAGAAATTAATTGGCCAACTAATGTATATGGAAAAATATTAGCTGAGCATGGTGGCGCATGCTTGTAATCCTAGCTACTCGGGAGGCTGAGGCAGGAGGATTGCTTGAGCCCAGGAGTTTGAGGTTGCTGTGAGCTAGGCTGACACTCACTCCAGCCATGGCACTCACTCCAGCCTGGGCAACAAAGCAAGACTTTGTCTCAAAAAAAAAAAGAAAAAAGTTGGAGAAAAAAAACACAACTTATTTACAGGCCAATGGATTAGTGTGGAGAAAAGTGGTTGGAGCTTCTCCTACTTCCTTCAAATCTCAGTGACTTTCTCAAAGGAATCTTAAATCTGCTTTTAAAATTTTTCGCCCGCTGTAAAATGAAGGCAATTATGAGGTTTGTGATAGACGCCCTACCGTCAGCAATGTTGAGTTCCAGGGCATACTGTGAGTTAAGCACCAGCAAGCCAGCATAGTGCCTGACACATGATAGTAACTGTCCCTTTTCTTAACAAAAGAAAGCGATCACACTCCTGCCTGTTTGTTGAGGGTGCACTTATAATGACCCAAGGTGTTGTCTTTGTAAGTGGGGAGCATTCTGGGCTGGGAGCGCTGAGGCAGTGGATGCCACCACTGTCATGGCTGAGTTGTTACCCACAAATTCATATGTTGAAGTTCAAACTCCAAGTCTCTCAGAATGTGACTGAAGTTGGAGGTGGGTAATTTAAGGAGGTAATTAAATTAAAATGAGGTCGTTAGAGTAGCTCCTAATCCAACATGTCCGGTGTTCTCATAAGAAGAGATTAGGGCACAGACCTGGGAATGCCCAGGGAGAAGATGGCCATCTGCAAGCCAAGGAGAAAAGCCTTAGAAGAAAGCCCAGTGCTGCTGACACATTGATCTTGGACTTCCAGCCTCCAGAACTGTGAGAATATAAATTTCTGTTGTCCACACCACCCAGTCTGTGAATCTTTGTTATGGCAGCCCAAGAAAATGAATATAACCACCAACTGCTAATGACTGGAGGTTGCTGCAGTTGTCTGTGGATGAAGGGCTCCCTGGGGCAGAGCAGAGGAGAGTAAAGACAGTTCTAATGGCTAAACTACACAGAAAGAAAAAAAAACAAAAACATTTGAATTGTGTTCCTCCTATATGTCCAACCTTGTGCTAAGCATCCCCACATGTTGACCTAAGTAATTGGATCTGAAAGCTATTTAACTACTCTGGGTCTCATTTTTTCATTTGTAAAATAAGGGGTTTGAAGTGAGTGACCCACGAGACCTCTGAAAGGTGAACAACTATTAATAATATTTCTGCCTAACCTACATGCACTCTCCTTTTTTCTGCTAACAGCACTCCAACTTTTCTTTGGGAAAACAAACCATCATCCGCTGTCATTCCATGTGGGTCAGATGTGATTGGCCTCAACCGTAGCACACGAGCCAGGCCTAGCCAATCAAAGCATCCTGTTCTCTTGGGCTCTGTGTTTGGTTCATGGATGAGCATGTGACCTAAGCTAGGCCAATGAGACTCAATCCTGAAGTGTTCCTAGGAGTCCTGGGAGTTACTAAGTTTTGAAATACATGCCTTGAGCTACTACTGGCCATTGTAAAGGGAAGAACCTACCTAAGAGGAAATCCAACACAGAACAAAGCATACCAGGGAGTGGGAGAGAGAGAGATGTTCCAAACAACCTTGTTTGAGCACCTAAATTCAACAGTTCATGAAGCCACCTAACCTGGATTTATTTATTTTTTATTTGTATACATTTGTGGGGCACAAGTGTAATTTTGTTACATGGATATACTGCGCAGTGGTAAAGTCAGGGCTTTTAGGGTATCCATCACCTGAATAACATACATTATATCCATTAAGTAATTTCTCATCATCCGACCCCTTCCTTTCCAATTCTCCATTGTCTATCATTCCACACATACTCTACGTGCATGTGTACACATTATTTAGCTCTCATTTATAAGTGAGAACATGCAGTATCTGTCTTTCTGTGCCTGATTTCTGACCTGGATTTAAATTACAGGAGCCAACACATTCCCTTATGCTTTCGTGAGTTTAATTAGGTATCTGTTATTAACACCAAAATTGTCCCATTACAACCTCTACGTGAATGATTTGGTGGCTCTGTGGCAAGGAATGTTGCCACAGTGGTGCTGATGCCTCCAGAGACCACAGAAATGGCCAGCGATGTCTGCCCTATACCCAGTCATTGCAGAACTTCCTGAGTCAGGCATCAGGTTTTTCATTCTCTTATCTCCTTCCCTTGTTCTGCCCTATATACACCTGTTGTCCCTGAACTCAAGCAGTTTGCTTAATCTGCTGCTTTTGTTCTGCCATGGTCTGCTACGCTAGTTGGTATAAAAATACAAATTAAAAGTTAAAAGATTTTGGGTCAATGCCTGATATGATGAACATGTATGAATAAAGAATGAGTATTTTGTGCATGGAATTTATGACATCTATTTTGGTTACTCAAAGTCTATTGTGTGTGCTTTATTGTTGATCCTTGGCTGAGTGCTAAATCATTGAGGATGAATATCAATGATGCTTAATTACTATATCATGTTCTACCATCTGAAAATGTTTATTATCTAAAAGTCTGGAGTCAAGACATATTAATATTATAGGATTGGCTAAAGAAAGGACATAGCGATGAATGAATCCACTAGTAAGAGAGAAATGAGGATGTTAGTGATATCAGAAAAACACCAAAGAAGAGGTATCCAATAGACTCAGAAAACATTTGAATAAGATGGTCATGATGGAGCAGAGTTGCCAGATCTAGGGAGAAAAAAAACAAAAAAAACAAAACAAGAAACTCAGTTAAATTTGAATTTCAAGTAAGTGACAAATAATTTTTTAGTATAAGCACATCCCAAATATTGCATGGGATCTACTTATACTAAAAAAAATTATCCGCTATACTGTCCCTACAATTCAAATTTTACTGGGCATCCTAAATTTTCTGGCAAAGGGATATATTTTAATAAAAAGTTAGTATATTAGGATTCATATTTTATGCTAAAAAAGAAAGGGACCTACATTGAGTGCTTGGGGCTTCTTCCTTTAGGGAAAGTGTAATTTTATTTTAAAGTGCCTGAATCATCATGTTTATCTGATTCTTCCAGAAGATGCTTTGACCCATGTGCTTGGTGCTAGACTTGCCTTCACATGCTGAGGACCAGGTAGGAAATAGAAACCACAAAGATTATAAATCGGTAAAGTTGGTGGAGTGAATCCAATGTGCAGAATCTCCCTCTCTGAATATTGAATAAAATAATTTTTAAACAAGTAAAACAGCAAAGATTTGGCTAGAAGTGGCCAAACAAGGAAAAGTACAAAACCTAATTTCATAATTTTTTTTTTTTAATTAGCAGCCAAGGAAATAAATAGAAAATTCTGGAGTAGTGAGGTAAGATAAGTAGACCCTCACTACCACCCCAAAGCCTTGTTGCTAAGTCAATGAAATCCTCAGAGTTTTCATTAATAACCCCAATGTTTGAAGGGAAAAAAAGAAAACACACAAAGAACTGAGTTTTCTGTGTTCTTATTAGGAGATGGTGGAAATGGCTGCCGGGAAAAGATAAATGCAATGAAGGAAATGAAGAAGTAGACCTTTCCTCTGACAGTAAAGCCTCCCAGTAAAGGCTCAACAGTAAATTAGGAGGACCAGTCCAAGGGCCAAAATATCCCTCCAGAGCAGTGCGATTCACCTGTGCCTATGTGAAGTGAACGCTGGGACAGGAAATTGAACAAAATCTGAGGAGCAAGACTCTCCCCTTCTCATCACCCTGGACCTTTAAGCTGTAAAAAAAGTGGAACAAATAATTAGTCAACAAAATTTAGCTCAGAAGGGAAAATAACATTCTGTGAAACTTAGAAGAGGCCAAGGAAGTGTCACCTGCCTTATGTTCAAGCAAAGATAGAATAGGGACAACAAAAAGTATGGGTAGTGCTGCCTGTCTCAAGTATAAACATGATGGAAAAAAAGCAAACAGCTATAAATAATTATACTTAAAGAAAAAAGAAGAAGGAAAAGAAGAGAGCATGTA